CAGAGCTCTTTCTTCCTACCATTTCTGCTTTCCTTTCATTAAATCACAAACTATGCAAGGAATGTAATTTTATCTCTGTCTGTCACCATGCAGGGTTCTGCCGGCTGGTACAGAAGTAAGCCAAAGCCTGTAGCTATCGCTGAAGCTCAGTTCTACCCACAGAAAGAATCCCATAAAGAACATTTGATCAAGCAATCAACTGTATTGGTGAGAAGTTCAGTGTCTGAAAATATATGCATCACAGCTGAAAATAGCATCTCTCTAAAGTTTGTAAATTAAAAAAAAAAAAAAAAAAAGATTGCTTACAGGGTCACTGCCTAACACCTTCAAGGCAGAAGAACAGAGCTTTTTGTCCCATAGTCACTCATTTTAATCTTCAGTCAAAGCCTCAAAATCAGAAAAGCTTTTTCAAAAATCTCATCTAGATTTTCCTTGCAATCTCAAAACAATGCGCTTTACACTGTGATGAGAGTTGCTCCAGAGGGACAGGCATTACCTCACTGATAGAGACCCTATAAGTACTTCTTTCATTATGTGAGTCTAATTATGTTGGGTGTCATGTACACATAACACAATAATGTTCTTCAGAAAGTTTTGGGATGAGGTCAGTAAAGAGAGACAGAAGTAGAAAAGCAGTCCAACCTGTATTTGTCCTGGTACCAGAGACATGTATATAGAATAAGGTTTTCAGATCTGTATATGCACTACCATATTTTACAAACCTAAAATCTAGCTTTTCAGGTCTTTAGTGGAAAGGACAACTGAATGTGGAAGTACCCTGGTGAGGTGTTGAGCTGCTCTGCTGACTTCCTTCCATCCCACACTGAGCAACACTTCCATGCTGGGGGAGATACTTCTGTATGCAGACTTTACACAATTTACAAAAATCTTTAGGTCCTTCTGATGTACAGTGCTTTTTAATTCTGATGTCTCCTGTCAAAACAGATTTTTCTGTAAAATATACTTTCATAAAAATTGAATTGTTTGTAAGTGACTTCTCTAACTTAAAAGGATAGAGAATAAAGGAGAGATACACGGAACATAATGTATTTGGATTCTCAAAAAGCTGTTGGCAAGGTTCCACACCAAAGGTTATTAAAGAAATGAAGCTGTCATGGGACTGCAGGAATTATTTCATGGAGTGAAAGCTGGTTACAGCACAGCAAGCTTGGGATTTAGTGGTTGGCATGGAGAAGAGCCAGCAGTGGAGTCCCCCAGGAATCAGAGCTGGAACAAATTTGGTTTAATATATAACCAATGACTGGAGAAAGGAGCGAACAGTGATTATCTCTGTGTTTGCAGTGGTACTGGACTTTTTCAACTATGCAAGCACCACACATAGCAAAAGACACCTGAAGGATCCTGCTAAACTGAGTGGGCAAAAAGGTGGCAGATGAGCTTCGGTGCAGATAAATGTAACTTGCTGCAGTAGAGTGTTGTGGATGTGACTGTATCAACAGGCTCAAAAAAGAATTAGACAGATTTGGGACACCAGATCAAAAGATGAATACTGAAGGAGTAGGCAAGGGTGTACCCTCTAACACGTCAAATACAACAGCTGTGGGTACTGAGGGAGTAAGCAGGGAATGTGTTGCAGAAATTGGCCAGGCAAAGGCGCTCTCCTGACCTGGCCTCTCCTACTGCCAGTGCTGGAGACAGCAGGGTGCCGAGTGGACCCAGCAGTGTGGTTTTCATGGCCCTATTTTGACAAAAATTATGGTGGAAGAAAACCTGAATGAAGTTTCAGCTATCAGAATGGTGTGCTTTGATAAAGAAAATTTTTACTTTGTCTTTTGGTTTGTTGGGTTTTTTTTTAAATTGAGCTACTATTGAGGAATTTAAATGCATGCTATTTTCATTGGTTTATAGTGCTCTAACTACAATATATGATAAAATATTAAAAATAAATTATAAATAAAATATTAAATTATCAAAATGTTGCTATTCTTTAAGAAATATTTTGTTCTGATATTTTGAATTTTCATTCGGAATCAGAATTGAAGCATCTTTTACAATATTGTAATTTTTGGTGGAATAGAAACATCAGTTTCTAGTCAGTTCTAATGATCCTTGTCAGCCTCCTCCCATTTCAGAAGTCTTCACTGTTATAAGAATATCAAGTCTGCTCTAAGGAAACAGTTATTTCTTGCATGCACATAATGTACAGCATGATAGAGGGGGGCTTGATTCAGCATTACTAGAGATCTCGCCTGTTTAATTTTGCATCAAAGAACAAGATCTTCTACTGCTGAAGTTAAAAGCAACCTTGGAAAGGACTAATACCCCCTGCCCGGTTGCTCAGTGCCCCCATCCCTTGGGTGGCACTGGCGCTGGTGTGACAGCGCTGTGCCCCAGCTTTGCTGGGGTTTGCTTGGCCAAGGGCAGGAGTAAGGAGCTGATAGGCAGCAGCAGGGTGCACCTGTGTCTTTGAGCCACTTATGCCAGTGCCTGCTTATGTCGGCTTGAAGATTTCACGACCATATTTCTCCATATGAGACAAAGATGTCGGCCAATATGTGGACAATGAAGGCATGATATTGCCTCAGTTTTGAGGCTGGTACCTGATGTTCTCTGACCCTGAAGCCAAGCTCTAGGATAAAGTGGCAGGGGGTGGTTTCTGTGCTTTTGTGCTTCTTGTAGCTTCTACTGCAGTTTGGGATTCTCCAGACTATTTTCCCTATTTCCATTTAACTCTAGGATCTGCTTCCCAGACCGGATCTTGCCATACTGCCTCTCCCAATCCTTTTCTTCCCTTCTTTTCTCTCAGTTTTTCTTCTGTGAGTCTGACAACTCTATGATAATCATTCCTCCTCCTCACAGCTCTGCAGAGGAATATGCCCATCTGATGGCGTGGGTGGGCATAGCTGGTGTACAGAGCACAGCTATCTTCTCTCTGTATGTATTCATGAAATTCACCGAAAGCCTTCCCACTAGCAATAAACCTCTGCTTCACAGGAGATCCATAGCAAAATACAAACACACTTTACTAGAGCTGGAACTGGGACCCGGTCAGGTAAATTGTGATTGATTTTCCAATTCAAGCGGCCTTTGGGAGTCACCCCCTGAGAAGCCTGGCTTCAGATTGGCTTCCAAACTGCTAGAAACAACTGTGGGAGTCTTTGGGAGCTGGATTCTGACAGCCGCGCAGTCATCCATACCATCAGCTGAGTGTGGTGGTGCAGCAAAGCACAGCGCCTGCTCCCAGAAGGCGTTGCTGCTGTGCTGGCCAGACAGACATGGGCTATAGTATGGGACATGCCAAACCTATCATCAGCTGCATTTGGGGTGACTCACTCAAGTAGCTGAGGTGTGGGAAGGATTTTGGTCAATGCGTCATCTTCTTCTGACACCACTTCCCCCCGCACAAGGGAATACACCCATTACATTTCTCTCTATTTAAATACCTGTCTTGCTGCCTGCTGGTGCGTGGGCTACAACTAACTAGTTGTAAAGAACCTGATACCCAGGTGAGACTGGCTCTGAGGGATGCATCAGCCCAGGGTTCCTGCAGCTTCCAGAGCTGCTCACTAGTGCCCTGACAGTCAGCCTCAGCAGAGCTGCTGGGGCATGAGAGGAACTGAATCATATTCTCATTCTCAAATACAGGAAAGGTGGAAGTAAATATGTCAGAAATACATCTCTGGTGACCACATTCTTGTGAAGTAGTCAGGGGTAAATCTCCCACTACAAAGGCAAGGAGACAGTCTTGGCCTTCTTTAAGTGAGATCAGTGAAACAATTCCCCTTTCTGCCTTCTTCCTTGAAACCAGTAACTTATTATGCAAGCACAGGCTAAAGTACTAACTCCTTTGGTTGTATCTTGTATGTACTAGTGCACATTGAGATCTGTGGGTACAGTTGGTGGTGGAGTCCAAGCCCCGTGATCATTGTCATCATCAAAACCAGCTACCTGTCATCTGAAACACTGGGCAGCTTTTTTTGGCAGGGCAGCAGAGGAGCTGGGTTGTCTATGTTTGTGCACAGAAGCTGGTAGATCATTACCTGTCCTGGTTCAGCCAGGATAGAGTAAAGTTTTCCCCAGCAGAGAGAGAGGGGGAAGGGATCTCCAGCCAGGTTATTCATACCATGCTGACGTCAGGTCCAGGGGTGGAACCCTTTTCCTTGCTTCTTGGTGGGTTTGGGAGGGAATTTTGCTTTTCATAGACCAGCTAGCGGTATTTCTCTGTATATCGTTTGTCTTGTTCACTGTTATTGCTGTTTATTGTTGTTACCATTGATACTGTTGTTGTTCAGATTGTTCTATCACTCTGTTGTATTAAATTTCTTGTTATTTTAGCCGGGGTCTGTGTTTAACTTCCAACCTGACCGGCGCGGGTGGCGGAGGGGCAATGGCAACATGCTCTCTCATCCTGGCAAGGATTAAACCTTGCACATTACCCCAAGGAGAGCACAGCAGGCGTGAGGTGCGCATCTGCCTGAGGGAGGACCCTGAGCAGCAGCTGAGCCTACAGGATAAGTTGGAGTTGGTGCTGCAAGCCTTGCTGGGGCATCTTTACATACAGAGAAAAACCTTAGGAAGGAAAGGAGCTTGTTGACGGCATACAAACCAGATAGGGAAAGGAGGCTGCTGGCATCTTTATATTCACTGGAAACAGCTTTGTCATAAGCTTCTGTGAGCTGAACTCAAACCTAGAAGATTAAAATCTCCAAAACCAATTACCATTTGCCCCTGTTGAGCCCCTTCTTCAGATTCATCACCACCTTGCAGCAGATCTGTGAAATGTGGGTTCACCTCATCACTTGGGGTCATCCTCTGACAACACAGCCAGCTACTGCAAGCCTGTGAAGGAAAATATTATCTTCTTCGGCTCACATTTTTGGAGGTAATGGCTCAGCAGTCAGAGTGAAATCATCAAACACCAGGATGAGCCAAAGCAAAAGCAATAGATACTGGTGGGTGTTTTTGACCAACTAGCTAATAAAAGACACATCAAGTTTATACTTCAAGTTTATTATAGCAATACAATCAGATTAAATTATTTTCACAGCTAATATACCTAATTATATCAGGGTATGTATATATATTTTATTCCCAGCATGTTACAATCTTTTTATCCTTAAACATGCAGTGAGTAATGTATGAACACAATTATATGGAAGATTTTTTTTTCCCTAAAAAAGAGAAACCAAAATTACAAAAGTATGGCTTCATAAGAAAGTCATATTATACAATCAACATTCATTTGTACTTGGGCATGGCAACATTCGGTCTTAATCAGTGAACAACAGCATCTGTCACTATCATGCTGATTCTAAAAAAGCCAAGGGAACTGGGAACAGGGAAATGCCCATCGGTGTTAGAGAGATGGAAAATAAATATCTATATACATTCACAGCACAAAAAAATGTAAAAAATGTTTTCAGGGATTAAGCGTCACATTTATTTATATGCCGAAGTCAAGAGTTATGGAGCTTTGAAGGATATAACTGCACAAACAGTTTCTGTTTTCCTTTAGACCAACAAACATCAGGAGTGATGCAATTGATTTAAAAAGCGTTACTTCAGGTGTAAAGAGGTGTAACTGAGGTCAGAATCTGTCCTGTCCTTCCTGCTAATGGTGCTGCAGAAATAGACAGAAGCATTGGGTTAGGAAGTCATAGGCAGCTGAATTTTGCTGGCAGCCCAGAGAAAAGAAAGACAAAGACATATCTTTAATAGATTTTATTAAAAAAGAAAAAATGGATTTGAGAAAAAAATGCGGCCACTATCACAAACCCATCTCTGGATGATTGTAGTTGTTGGTGAGCAGAAGCCCTTGTGCTTGGTGTTCAGCGGCCAAACACCCATTTCAAGGTCAAAGCTGCTGCCTCTTTACAAGAGAAGAAGAAATGTCCTTACCTGTTAGCAGCACAGAGCTTGGGACACACACTTATCTGGTGAAAAGGCTGCTTTCTCAAGGCAGTGATCACTGATGTGTGAAAGTACTGGAGCCGGTAAGTATTGTAAATCAGTTACGAATTTTACCAGGAGAGGGCAGAGAGAGACACAAATGTACATATGCCCCCCACACGCACCCACACGTTTACACACACAAACAAGTGCGCGCGCGCACACACACACACACACACACACAGGTACACTCGCACACCAAGTCGCTCACCGTGCACACTGAAGTGATACTCATTGAGACTTAAGTCACACACATAAACACACAACTCTGATCCTTACAATGCTACTCCTCAAAACTGAAATTAAAAAGATGTAACCTGCAGAGCCCAAAAAATTAGCAAATACTTTACCCCCTACTTTTCCTCTCTTGCTTTTATTCTTTTTCCCAAGTTCAGAAATACAGATCTTAGCTACACTTACTAAGTATCTATAGATGCAAAATGTAAACATCACTACACAGCACCTAGCACTTCTTTGATGAACAAAGTCAATAGCATATTTGTCACGCAAGCACAGGGATTTTTCAAGACTACGGACTGTCAGGTTGCAGGCAGTGTGGAAAATATTTTGAGTTCTCTTCTGCTAATGACCTGGCATGGAAAGAATGGAGAAAAAAATTCAACACAGATGGGGTTGAGGTAGATTTGGCCATATCTGATGTAATGTCACTGTACTGATCAGGAAGACAAATGGAATCTCAAGCAGGCAGGTAACCGCAAGATAAGCAAACCAGGTTTAGGGAGAAGATTCCTCCATTCCGTCAGAAAGACACGCCACCCTGCACTTGTATTACTATAGGTGTTGAAAAGAGTTCTCACCACAATGCTAATGGCCCTATGCTGTGGCCCAGTGGGACCGCTCATGGAGGTCCGATGGGGGCTCAGCACCTGAGGGCCAGCTGGTGCTTGATCTCTTGTTAAAATGATCAGGAAAAGGAGGAATGAGAAGGCTATGTAGTGATCATTCCAGTGTGGGTAGCTGCCTGTTGCCTACTGGGCTGAGCACACCAGTGTTTGCATGTTGGTCAACAGTGGGACAGCAGCTTTTTTTCATGATGTGGTACCAGACATGGATATACCTCGGAATTTGAGTTTCTTGAGCAGTTGCTGAGAATCTACCTCTTACGCTCTGTCTAGGCCAGTGGATAGAGGGTAGCCTCCCACATGGACAAAAGCATGCACACAAGCATCCTGGTGCCTGCTACAAATCCACCCAGAAAGCCTGAAGTGCCTGAACCCTGGCCTTTGCAATGATCCACAACTATTACAGTCGAAAAGAGATGCCTGCACCATTTTAGATCAACTTGCTCCCAGTGGGTTGCTTTGGCTCTCTGGGTACAGCCCCCTGACTTATTAGAAAGTCCTGTCTCATTAATGTCATGAATATTTACCTGCCTCCTTTGAGTTGTACGTCAAACAGCCTTCCCCTCCCTCCTGTCTTTTCTGAAACTCTTTATAGCACCAAAACTCTCATGGTTTCAAGGCAGTGCAGTAACTGTTGATTTCCTTTCCCTCCTTCCCCGGGATATCTGCTCCCGGGGCCTAATTATTATTCTAATAATATCCATCATCAGCCTCCTCCGCCTCTCGCCCACCAACATCCGGATGAGATACCGCATTGCTGCTGGGGCAAACCCGCTCCTGCTCCTCTGGACTCCAGGGGTGCCACAGGGGCCGTGCTCTGCACAGCTGCTCTCGTCCGCCTTGGGCAGCGAGCGCCTGCTTTGTCCTCCGTCTCCAATGCCGGGTTTCTGGGGGCTGCCAGGGCTGGGGAGCCTGCAGGGCTTCGCAGAAGCAGCTCAGCCAGGGTTTATAATGCAAATCTGCCTTGGGCTCTGCTTTGCTTCCCAAGCTGTGACAGCCTCCGCCTGCGGCAGAGGCTGCCGAGCAAGCAGCCTCTCCGCAAAACCCTCACCTAAGGTCGGCCCTGTGTTTCTCCCCCCCCACCCCGTTCACACCCTCCCCCATCGCACAAGGAGGAATAGAGGACACAGATGGGGAAAGACATCCAAGTCCCCAGGGGCAGGGGTGGAAGGACACTGCAGCACCAGGCATGTGGAATTTCAGGAGAAGGGTTAACCCCTTCGTGGCCTGCTTGCCACTTTTAGGGCTGGGCTGACATTTTCTCTATCCTGCAAGCAAGCCTGCATCTTCACCTAGTGCAGCGTGGGCAGCACTGGCACCGAGGTGCTTCCACGGCACGTGGAAAGGGATGTCCGGGAGGAGCATCCCGGTGTCTCCAAAAGGATGTTCCCGTTGGCTGCGCCCCGCACATAGCACAGCCTTGCAGGAAATCTCCACCTGGCTGTGGCTGCCATCGCCAGCGTCCTGGCACAGGGAAGGTACCCGCGCACAGGGAAACCGAGCGGAAGCGCTCCCTGTGCTGATGGAAACAAGGAAAAGGGTGCAGCTCCAGCACAGCCGCCTTGGCACGGGCACGGAATTAGCCAGATGGTTTTGCACGGAGCAATTGAGATGTGAATGCACATCCTTTCTTAGCCAGAGCCTTGCTAAAAGGGGGTTTGTGCCCCACAGCCTTTGGCTCCAAATTTATTTAAAGAGATGAGTGATTTCATCACTGCTGTTCAGTACGGATCTGGGGAAATGGGTTACGCTACTTCCGCAGAGCAGAGGATTGTGCTGACAAAGAGAGAACATTGGGGTCCAAAATAAGGGATGTCCCTCAGAGGGAGTTGGAATCCTGCCACTGCTCCATTGGTGCTGAACAGGACCAGGAGAGCAGGACCAGTGCCTTGAACAGACAGGGCTCTGCCTGGGCAGCAAGACACTGAGGCCCCCAGAAAGCAGGGCAGCCTCATCTCCGCCTTCTGCAAACACACCCTGCCTGCAGTGCTCAGGGGAATCAATGGGAACTTTTTGTGTTTTCCAGGATCAGGCCCTCTGTCTGGACCCAGGTGGCAAAAATACTCTAACTGACAACGAGTGACAACTTCTAACAGCAGAACATCATACCCCAGCTTAGGATAACTAGCAAATGCTGGTGGCTCTGAGACCCCCTGGGAAATCAAATTAGTGAGCTACGTCTCTTGTGGAGGTACGTACAGCCCTAAAACACAGGTCAAGGAGAAATAAAGTCACTTATGAAGGACAGGGCTTCCACTGGCCCTGCTCTGATTTCCATTTGTTTACTGAACAGCAGGGAAAATGGTTCCTTCCCCATTGCACAAGTCTGTAGAGGCATCAGGACCGGGATTGCCTTTAACTCACTCACTCCCAGGTAAGAGAGGATGCTTTCTGTTAGCTATGCTGCCGGTCTCTATCCGCCCCCCGGAATATACACTCACTGCCCCTCTCTGAACTCACGCCCTCCAGCTATGACCTGTTGTAAAGCAACTCAGAAAAATCAGGTACCCTGCAGAACTACCTCTACGTCCCTGCAGCATCAGCCATGGAATATTTGGTAATTACTAGATGATGCTAGATCATTGTTAGAAAGGAAACCTGATGTTTGAACCCTGTTGGTACGGGATGGTATTTCTCTCAGCTCTAGCAGAACACAGTCCCATAGTTACACCATTTGAAAATCCCACTGAGCACGTAGTTCCTTTTTACCCAGGTAAGTTACACAGGAGACAGTTATCATATTGGGAATTCAGATACACTGATACCAGCTGACGGCTAAGAAACCAAACATAACACAGTCTCAACTACACTTAACCCTTCACATGCACAACAAAACAGAAAACAAGGAAGGCTTTTGCTTTTAAAAGTGCCGTGTCTGCAATCAGTTAGAAAAGACATTTAAAATCTTGTCACAAAATATTGGATTTTCCAGCATAGCCTAATAGGTTAAGTACTAAAATCACACTAAAATGCAGAGGGTGGTGGATGACCAGCTCCCCTAAGTTGCCTTTGAAAATCCAAGACCCAGCGAATAGTCAAGGAAAAACATTTACCACATTTTTTGTCGGTAGCTTTTTGCCATAGGATGGTAAGGGCTTTAGTGCCTGAGGTATGGGTAGTTCCTGGATGCTTTTAGGGAAGTGGGAGGGGGGAAGAGTCTGGAGAATAGTTTGCATAGCTTGCAGATATAAAGAAGCAGGTGTGTTCCCCACCAGGCTGTTGAATTTGTCTTCCCCCAGCAAAGCTGTCCAGTGGTCCGGATGCTCCTGCAGAACTTTCCGCATCTTAAACTGTGGGTTAGGCATGAAGAGCAAGAGGTAGTCGAGGCAGAGCTTCTTTGATGCCACATTGACTTTGGAGTCCCACATCTGCTCCAGGATGACATCCAGTGGGGTAAGCCCTTTACTGTCCTCTATCCTGGGAGAAGCTCCATTCCCGAGGAGGATGAGGACCGTCTCTGACCTCAGCAGTTCGCAGGCAAGATGCAGGGGGGTTTTCCCATCTTCCAGATGAAAGCAGCCAGTCCTATTGATGTAGGAGTTCAAGCTGGGGAGCTTGTGTGCAATTTTGATGATCAGCCCCAGGATATCTCTCCTGTCATATGTGACCGCCATGGCCAAGTGAGGAGCAGATGATGGGCAATAGCAGAAGTGTTCCCCAGGCACCTTGAGAGCCTCCTCTGGGAAATGAGACAGCAGATACTGAGCATAAGGCAGGTGGTTATGCACCACTGCATAGAGAAGGGCTTCTGAAGGTGAGTAGGTTCTTAGGCTGGCATTTTCCTCCCAGTAAAAATACTCCATAGTTCTCATGTCTTCCAGCATCCACACAGGCTTGTGATCTCTTACAGCCTGGTAGAACATATAGGATAAGAACTTGCAGTGCCTGCTCTGATCATCCTGCAGGCTGGCCTGGTTACTGGCCATGGCTCAGCAAATAAAGAGCAGCTCCACGTAAAATCACTCCAGACTGTAAGATGTGTGCACTTGGAATGCAGATCCCGATGCTGCTGCAACCTTCAGGCTGTCATTGCTGCCCGGACTGCACTAGCTGGAATGCATGGGCTGATCATCTCCACCCATTCATTGTTTTTCCCCTCACTGCAGTGGTTTTGTTTAGGTAAGCACAATCCCACAGGCTCGGTTAACCCATGCCATGCAAGCAGATGGTTAGTAAGTACATCCCGCTCTGCGCGTGGCACAGGTTACTGGAACGCTGTCAGACTGTGAGTGATTTTATACACACAGCTAGAGAGAAGAGAGGGAGAGACTAAAATTAGCTTGAGAGGTGAGGCGGATTTCTGTCTGCATTTCATGTCTAACCAGATCAGCTCATACATTGCAGTAAGTGCAATAGCAGTATTCATCTATTTTTTGTATGTCACTCACACACAGCTCATTATACAGTAAAAAATATGTAGCAGTGTAAAATGCTCCACAGCTGATAACACACACGATTATATGCTCAGGAAATCAAGGGATTGGGAATGTAGCATTAGGAAGGGATCCCTATTTTATAAATAATGGTATGGCTAGCCACTTAGGAGACACTGATGTTAATGGATTGTCTATAAGGCATTAGTGATGTTTAAGATCCCAGCATTAATCTCTGCAGAGAAAAGAGTAGAACAGTATGTAGATTAACTATGCCCAGAGTCATAAAGCATATTGCTCGGTTTAAACGCCTGCCTTTGTTTAGCAAGGAAATATCTGAAGTGCCTCTCAATTGGCAAGTACATAAACAAAAGGTTAATGGCCAAACCCCACTGGCAGATGGAGATCTTTGATCTAAACATTTCTCAGATGTCACCTTCCAGGACTGGGGTCAGAGCCAGTGGAAATGGGGAGAAGTGGGATTAAGCAATCAGACTGGTGCAATGCCCTGGTAAAACACAGGGGACCCAGACCTACAGGCTTGAGGGGATAGTGCCTGTTGAATGAGGCAGAAGGACCTGACCAAAATTAAATTCACAGAAAAGAAACGAACTGAGCACACGTTACAGCAACTTGAGTTTACAGAAGGAGGGCTTCCATGCATTTTATAAAGCAACAGATTGCAGTAAGGTGGTATCTCACCATCTTGATAAGAAACCAGGGAAAATACAGCAAATACAATTCTTTTTTCATTTAACAAAGAAACAAACATATATTCAGTATATTCAAACTAGAGAGTATTCAAGTATTAAATCTGAACATCTCCAAATGATGTCTGGGGTCATCCAACTAGACAACCAAAGCCAGTCACAAAACTGGGCCTAGATCTAGCACATCTTCCAAAGTTCTGGATGTTCCAGTCATTTCATTTTAGGGCCAGTTTTCATATGGTTGGAATAAACAAGTGTATGTCCAGGTTTTGCCCGCTGTTACTGTGGTTATGCATGGAAATGCTGCTACATAGGTCTTATACCCGTGGTCATAATAAACTATGTGTATGCTCAGGGCCAGATCCAAAGCCTGCTGAAGTGCACAGCAAGGCTCCTGCTGACTCCAGCACGCTCTGGGTCAGGCATTAAAATAGCACTTGGAGACACACATTTTGTTTCTCCAGTTGCTAACCCAAAGCATTTGAAACTTGGACTTATGTACTCAGAGGAGAGGTGAATTAGTATTTAAGTGGGTAGGCTCTTTTGCTTAAAGCTTTCACATGGCTTTTCCTACTAGTAAATCATGACTATACCGTTGGAATTACATGGATTTCATTATTTCCTTGTTGCAGGTACAGGAAGACACACAGACTTTACATAACTCAGTTTTACAGAGCGGCTCTCCGATGGGGCTGGGCACTGAACTGGGAATTGCTGTGTCTTTGCCCAAGGGTTTTAGCCATTAAGCAACCCTCACCTGCTACAGATGTTAAGATAAGGCTCCCCAGGGAGGTGGTCACAGCACCAAGCCTATCAGAGTTTAAGGAGTATCTGGACAATGCTCTTAGTCATATGGTTTAATTTTAGGTAGTCCTATGAGGAGCAGGGAGTTGAGCTTGGTGCAGAGACACACAAAAGTCAAGAGAAGAATCCTCAACAAGTATTTCCAAGGAATGGGGAAGCTAAAGTCCCAGAATCAGGAATGGCCACCAGGCTTATAGCAATCGCATCTACAGGATGGGTCCAGGATGTCCAGGATGTGAAAACATCTGTAATTACAGTTTAACTTGTAATTACAGGTTACAGTGCAATTCTGCCCAGGAAGCCCAGCACAAAACTAGGGGAGCCCTTTGCATGGTTTACTCACCTCTGTGTGGTGTTAAATGGCACAGGTCTGCCTGCCATGGTGACTCCTGCCCTTGTCCTGTTTTGGTTTTTTTCCAGGAGTTTAGAAAAGCTGGAGCTGAGGGCACATGTTTAATGGCAATGCATCTCTTCTGCATTTTATTACAAGCATAATGCACCTGTAAAACATTATAGATCCATTAGAAATGGAAGACATTAATGTGGAAAGCTTTACTGAGGAACTGGAAGATTAGGAGTTTGGAAGTTTCTGTTTATTTCTTTGAATTTTGATCTATGGCTAAATATAATGTGTCCTAACTCATAAGGTATTTGTTGTGGCTTCCCTTTTGGCCAAAGTGCAGTCTAGAAGGTGAGCAGAATCAGTTTTGATGGACTGAGAGAGATCCAAGGGAGCAGGAGCAGTTTTGAAAGGTGAAACTGACAAAAAGAAAGTTGATTTTACCCAAAACACCATTTACCATTTCAGCTGAGACTAAGACTCTTTAGACCTCTCCTGGGTAGAAGCATTTATCATATTTTGATGGTGATTTCAGCTCATAAAGAGATTTGATTATTGTGAGCCTGTGAGAAATGTAAGCATGTTTCTGAGTTATTCAGGAATCTTCTTACAGTGTTATGCTCAAAATATTGTTTCTGGGCAAAAGGGAAACGTACCTTATGTATAAGACAAGAATTTATTGTTAGTATAACTGAAATCTTAGCACTCTTAAAATATCATTATTAGTCCAGGTCTAACTATTACAGAAAAATAAATAATACTCCTATGCAGAAAAAGCTTCAATAGTAGTAGTAGTAGTAGTAGTAGTAGTAGTAGTAGTAGTAGTAGTAATTTAAAACTGTTATATGCACACTTCTTAGCTTCTACCCCTATTCCTGGTGTTATGCTCCCCCTGCCCTTGCTCATCTGGGTCCAAAGGTTGGTGATTTCATTCTGGTGGTGGTGTTACAGGGAATCATCAGCATACGGAGACCTTAAGTGGGAGGAATGTGAGGTTGATGGTACTGGTTTCTTCTTCCACACTCTAGAATCTTCTAGGGGTCAGTTTTATGATTGTTAACATGCTTTTATACCTTGTTTTTTATTCATTGGACTAAAACTTAATTATACATCCATTTACTATATATGTTAATTATATATATGTAAGATACTATTTCTTTATCCTCTTTGCTACCCCCTAAAACCATTTTTGTCCATCTCTGTATCTGCATTTCTTTAACTGATCATAGGTGAGTTGTTTGTATCAATGAGGTCTCCAGAGTCCAGCCTGTGCCCTGTCTCATACCATTCCATGCCTGTACTCCTCTGCACCGTATCCTGTACCTCCACTTCTCAAGACCTCTGCTGTCATACCAGGCCTATGATTAACTCTATTAACTCTAGCATATTAAGTTGGAGTCACAAACACCTCATGGTGCACAGAAGAGCTACTTGTTACCTCTATCTGTATAAAACTATAGTTGTTCCATACAGTAGTAATCTAAGCAAAACAAATCAGCCATAGCAACCTGGTCAGAATGAAAAAGTGTTCCTACAGCTAAACCAAATTTAAACTAAGCATCAGGCAGGTCAATAAAAGTCCAGGCAAAGCAAGCCTGACACGCCTCAGTCCTGTGTCTGTGCAAACTCAGTACAAAATCTGTGGCCTGTTACTAGCAATGGCCATACTGTACTGCAGGGATAGAGCATTTCAATAGATCCTGTTTCTGGAATAAACTGAAGCAGAAAGGCTTTGCGTACTGCATACTACTGAGAATACGGCTTAGGTTTATCATCCTTTCTCTGTCGTTTCTTCCTCCTGCCTCTCCATATAAAGACACAGGGAGCAATAAGGAACACCATGGGATCAAGAGCGGATGAAGAAACCTTCTGGAAACAGACAAAAACAACAGCAGATTTTGCTCACTGGGACTGAGGATAAATCACTTGTTTGGCTGGGAGTGGGGCTTTCACATTTGTCATTTCACTGGCTGATGGGAACAATGTATTTCCTTACTTTAAGAGAAGGGCAGGCATGCCACAGGCCTCAGCAATCTAGGGGCTAATTTGAGCCGAGCAAAACTCCTTCCTGACACATTTTTGCCTGGGCACACACGTGAAAAACTCTAAGGAAGAAGCTGCTTGGGAAACAGAACAAAAGGCTTTGGCAAAGATTGGGACCATCTCCAGCATCCTACATCTTTCAAAAACTCCAGTGAGATGTTTCTTGCTCCCTTTCTGCCTTTCTTCAGTAATCTTTATTGGCATCTGTTGTGGTTTAAAAAAATTAACTCTATCCCAGCTGAAACCAGGACAGCATCTATTTCCAGACACAAATGATGTCAATTCCTGTATACCCTTTGCACAGGAAGGGCACAGGGTGATCTAGCCAGGACATAGAAAGAAGCAAAGCAATTGCCAGATATCAGGTACTCAAGCACAAAGCAAGAGTGTTACTGAAACCTGATCTCTTGATTCAGAGGCATGCTGGTTTTTATTATACTGTCTGCCCTGCCAGTCTTCTTCCCTTCCTCAGGAAAGAAAAACTGTTCTGTAGGTGATGGATGACAACCCTTCAGCCATGGTGAGCCTCTACCAATGCTCACTGTTGTCCTGCTTTCCATGTCCAGCCCAGACTGCACAGTGCAGCTTGTGGGCATGCTGTGTGATGAGTTTAGCACCCTTGTGCAGAGCCCTACTGCACAACAAGGCTGGTTTTACAGAGCGTGAAGGGTTTTTTTTATACCCTGCTACACACGTACCAGCCCTAATTCATCAAGCTGACTACACATGGCTTTGAGATGATGGAAAAATCTACAGTCTGACCTGTCCTGAATTGCACAATATCTCACTTCTGCTTGCAGGATTCAAACAGCAAATGAAACGATCTCTGAGTATATGGCTAGAGGATGGAAATGAAAATAAGCAGAGATTTACCAGTTTGGGAAGCATTTGAATTGCATGTAATGGGACCAGC